GGGGCCGCGCGCTCCACTAACTTCCTGTTCGTGGGCGTCATGACCGCGCAGAAGTACCTCAACAGCCGCGCCGTGGCCGCGCACAGGTAGGTGCGCGCGCACGCCGCTGAGCTTACCTGAAGCCTCGTTAGTGCCCCGAAACCGCCCCCCACCCCCAAAGTCGGCCGGAGTGACTCAAGTCGACCCCCTTCGCCCACCTCCCTCCACGACGAGTGGGCTGCAACCAAGTTACTTTGGTCACCTCTTCATCTGCCGAATATTTAGACGCTAATCGCATTTCAAAACAAAACGTGTTCGTTCGCCCCAAATCGATAAAGATTCAGTTGCTGATCCGGTTCGTAGCAGCCATCAGAAAATGGCTTGAAATGCGGACGATGGCTTTCCAAAGTCAAAGCAGATGTTTGCAGCTGTCTCCTTGGCAAACATCGACGGTCGGCGTTCGAGGGGGACGACGACGGAAGTCGGAGCGCATTTCCTGTCGAGAAGTTCACCTCTGAGCGTTGGCTCGCGGCTGAGTTGTCCAAGCATCGATTGTTGCGCCCGGAAATAGTTGGCAAAAAAGGAGCCGGAGAAGACCGCTGAAAGGTGCGCGTTCTTGTTGCTCCGTCCGCTTGGAAATACGAGTCGGAGAGGCAATGGTTTGAACTCCTTAAAGGGAAGGCCAACGAGCCACATCACTTTTGGTGCGCCTCCTCTCTTTTGAAGACCAACCGCGCGACTTAGTCAAAAAGTCGCAGCCAGAGCAACGACGGCGCCGTTGGAAATCTCCGGGTCGGCCTCACCAAATGGTCAAGCCTTCAACAAAATGGCGTCCAAGCCGGTGGCTGCGGCGGTCGGCGAAGCTTGTCGTGACAACGACGACGATGAGATCATGAGACCAAGAGGCCACTTTTGCGTCAAAGACGAAGAGTGTCCCGTGCGCGCGTGAGGGCAGAACAAAAGTACACGCCGCGGCACCTGACCCGGTCGCGACGACGTTCATTCTTTTTCCCCCCTTCCCACGCAACGGTCTGGTTTCGGTGAAGGGGAAAAACTCTTTAGCGGGCCGACAATCGCCGCGAGCGGCGGCTCCGACGTCGGCCGAAGTGAGGGCAGAACAAAAGTACACGCCGCGGCACCTGACCCGGTCGCGACGACGTTCATTCTTTTTCCCCCCTTCCCACGCAACGGTCTGGTTTCGGTGAAGGGGAAAAACTCTTTAGCGGGCCGACAATCGCCGCGAGCGGCGGCTCCGACGTC